CCTGCCCGGCTGCGGCTGGGCTGCCCGGCAGCGCTCAGGCTTAGGCTGGCCTCAGGCGCAGGTCGCAGCCCAGGCCAGGCCCAGCCAGCCTGCCACTCACCTTCGGGCATGATCTTCTTTGGAGGGGCCGGGGGAGGCTGCAGCGGCCCCAGGGTGGACACGCGGAAGCCTGCCGGGAGCGTCTCGGCCGAGGCGCTGAGCATGCCGCCGTGGTGGTCCCGCGGCCGGAAGCGTTTCCTCCAGGAGGGCGCGCGGCGGAACACCTTCTCCTCCCCCTGCACGGAGGGGACAGGCAGAGGCCAAGGGGCAGGTTGGGATGGCCACCCCTACGCGCTGCCTGGAAGGAGGCCAGTCCTGACTGGTTCTGGGGGTCACCACCCCCATCCCTTTAGAAAGAAGCTTACAAGGTCACTTCACGTCCCCTTCCTGGGCCTCAGTTGCGCTGCCTGTGAAATGAGTCAAGCTGGAAGAGCTGACTTCTAGGGACGCTGAGACTCGTTCGTAGGGGAGATGGGGCCCCCTCTGGTGGCATCTATCTGCACGCACAGTTGAACTCCTTCCCGGCCCACCCCAACCCCCAAGTGGGCTTGGGATGCCCACTGGCCTTTTCTGAGCCTCATCGGTGGGTGGAAGTGGTCATTCCCCATCCACACCTCCTGCCCATGGGGCCTGAGGGCTGCCACAGCCCCAGGATGCCGGAGGAACACTGGGTCAGGAGTCAGGAGACCTGGCTTCCATTCTTCTAGCTCCCGTGCGAGTCAAGTGATCTGTCTAAACTTTAGTTTCCTTATTTAAAACAGAATCATGACCTGTTTCCAGGACTCCCTATCCCTAATGGGGTCAGGTGAGGGCATCTGGTGGCAGTGATGTGTCAGCAGATAGCCAGAGGCAGACTCCTCCACAGGCGTGATGGGTACCCCCTGCCACCTACCAGCCAAGTCTCCAAAACACAGAGCTCAGCCGTAGGGCACACAGGGCCACCACCCTGCAGGCTGCCCTTGATCACAGCTTCCTTCAGAACACACATCCACCCTTCTGGACATTCTGCCTATCGTCCGCACAGCCGTGTTCTCCAGGCTGGTGCAGGCAGAGGGCTGCTGGCAGGAATGATACCCACCCACCAGGTCTCTCCTCACCCACCCTCTCCAGCCCCACCCCCAGGCCAGCTATCCTGCACCGAGAGGGGTAAATGCTCCCAACAGGTCTGAGCACCATGTGGCTTACTTGCAAGAGTAGCGTTTTCACATGTGCTTAGACTAGTTCATGACCCCACCCACTCCCACCTCCTCTTCCCTTCCCCTGCCTTTCAAATTCTAGGCTCCAGACACTGTGATCACCAATTGAGGTTGCCCCAGCCCCTGAGTAGTACAGGGGGACACTGGGGGGACCCAGCAAGCACTGCTAAGCAAACGCAGGGCAGCTGGCTCCCCATGAGGCCCCCCAGCCCTGAGTGTAGCAGGAGCTGTGCTCTGTCCTCCCCACGATCCCGTCCCTGACCTATCCCATGCACCCCACCCCCCACTAGGATTTGCTTCTGTATTTCTCCCCGAATAATCGGATGTTCTCGCTCCCTCTTTTCTGTCTCCCTGCTTTCCAAGTAGGGAAGAATTGGACGCCGCCCTCCAGGACCTTGATGCATGAGAGGGGAAGCTGGGATCAAGAACTGGCAGAGAAGAGCTGTGAGAGACAGCTCAAAGTCACTGAGGATGTGCTAGATGGCTGGACAAGAACCAACTTTCCATCCCTGACCTGTTCCATCACCAAATCTCACCTTATTCTCACCTTCTCCTTTCAGCCTCCCACAAGAACCAGTCCTCCAGCCCTGCACCTAGTCCATCATGTGTCCCACAGCGTTGCCGAGATGACATCACCTAGTCACTAACTCCCCCCAGCATCCGAAGCCAGAGCACCCAGACAGCCCACGTGCTTGCAGGAGGCAGCAGGGTGCAGGGTAGAAGGCAGGAACAGACACACGTTTGCTCCAGTCCTCTGCCACTGAGAGCCTGGGACAGGCGGTGAGTTACGCCCTGAGGTACCCTCATCTGTAAGGCGAGCTCATAAACTGTCCAATGAGGGCTGTCGGCACACAGTGAGAGGACTGTCACCATCGACCACCATATTCAAAGAACGTGTTGGATGTGGAATACTACTCGGCAATCAAAAAGACAAAGTCGTGCCAGATGCGGCAACACAGATGGAAGGAGAGAGATAAGTACCGGACATTGTCACGGGTGGCTAGAATATAGAAAAACCAAAGGGTCAGACAAAGACAAACTTTAAAAGCAACCCTTAAAAGCTGACCACAGAGCTGGGGCTTGCTGTGGAGATGGGGTGAGAATGGGAGGATCAGGTGGGGGGCACAGTGGACTATCTGTGGGGAAGAACTATGGGTGCTTTGGCGGTGGGAAGGGAGAATCTAACAGCGTCAAAACACTGGCAAGGGTGTAAAATAACAGTACTTCAAAAACAAAAATAAATTTTAAAGAAGGAATACGTTGGTTAGGATTGAAGGAAGAAATAGCTTTGCACATTAGAAAGCAGGGTACTAAAACACACGGGAGGCATTTCTCCAGACAGCCTGAGGAAACTAAGATCGCAGGTGTGAGAGGAGCAAGCAGCAGGCAAACATGAGGACCGCTGAGAGTGGAGACAGCTTGGGGGCGGCACTAGCTGTTTGTCTCCTTGGCTGGAATATCCTCACGCCAAATGTCCAGGTACTTCTGTGAAGCAAAAGGCCTTCCACGCACTCAGTGCACTCCCAAGCCTGTCCTCTCCACAGAGGCACAACAGTTATTCTCAAAGGTGAGTTTTGGCCCTGCTCAAGCCAGCTAAGAAGGCCCCCATCAAATAGGGTCCCTCAAGGAGGCCCAGGGTGTTGGTGGGAGCAGGGGTGCTGGTGAAAAGAGCTTCCCAGAAAATGGAGATTGGAAACAATGATCTGACGGAAGATGGAGAAGCTAAAAATAAACCGACTAGGCTCCTTCTGAACTTGTTTGGAGCCCAGGCAGCTACAGCAGACCGGACAGGCAAGAGCAGGCAAGGTCAGTGATAGGAAAGAGAGCAGGGGGAGGGAGGAGGAGGCAGGCCGAGGTGGGGTCTCAGGAAACAGGTGCATCAGGCAGGCACCTCTAACGGGAGATGGGTCCCAGACACGGTTCAGCCTGAACTCAAGGGGAGGCCTATCGAAGGCAAGCGGCAGAGACCTGGGAGGCTGAGGGGAACCTTAACCTGGGGAGGAAGCCGGGATGATGGAAGCCTGAGCCACGTGTTTAGCTGTGCCCAATGTCTGAGGAACAAGAGCACAGACCTGTCTTATGCTGTCACCTGTCACAGGCTGTCACGTGCAACCTCACGGCTCCAGGAGGGGTTGGGATGTGACTAAGCGTGCTGTAGGTAAGTGATGGCACTCAAGAGCTGGGGTCTGAGGCACAGAGAAAGAGCGAGGATCCGAAGAGATGGCCTTTGCAGGAAACCTCTGACCCTGCGGTGTTTGCAAGGGGGTGAGGGGGCCCGGGGTTGGATGATGCTGGAGGGAGAATATATAGGAGCCTTTAGTGTTTCTTACAAGGCTAGAGTTTCCAGTGACTTCCATGCCTGTTGCTAGGCCTGACCTCCCCAGTGCCCTGACATCACACTTACTCTCTTGGCTTTCCTCCTTAAGCTACCCCACCAATCATCAGCGCCAATCAAGCAGAACTCATGAACGATGGCCCAGGAAACTAGCAGTACTCAAGCCCCAGAGCCCTCAGTTCACAGCAGTGACTCACATCATCCAGCTTCCGGTCGGTGCCCAGAGCCAGCAGGTTGTTGAACTCTCTCTCCATCACCTGGCGTGCCTGGAGTCGCAGGGGAGGGGGTAGAAGAGGGAGGGGAGGCTATTAGTGATCTTACACCACCTCTCCCCTGCATCCTAGGGTCTAAGAGCAGATGGGGTTTGATCCTTAATATTAGCCCCGACATTGCTCCTTCTGGCGATCGGTAGCGTCCTCCTAAAGTGAAGACTCAGGAGTCTTTCACGTGGAAAAAATTAGAAAAGTATCACTTTAAAAATGGGATCACAGAAGACATGGATGGACAGGCTTCACCTACTGGGGTGGAAACACGTTTTGTCTCTAAGGGAAATCTTACCTTGTCGCCTAGCTGGAGGGGTAATACACAGGTGGGCCATGGATAATAAGGATTTATCCTAATGCGATTAGATGTAAACATGGGTTCACGTCAAAATTTTAACTTAGGAAGACAGTGGTGGTGGCTGGTGGTGGCCTCCAGTGGGCAAGGCTGGTGGCCCTTGGGCTGAGTGTGTCCTGAGGAGGCCTGGAGAAGGGGGAATGAACTCCTTAGGGGACTTGAGAAATGCCAGAACAGCAAAGCGTTCAAAACTGCCACCACATATTTGTAGCCAATTTTAATGGATTCCACACGAGGTGAGGTGCCCATCCCCTAGTGGCGAAGCTAAGAAGGAGCAGCAAAGTGAGCAAGGTTAGAAGATAACAGAGCTGTCTCTGCGGCTGCATGTCCTGGACGAGTAGCCATGGCCCCTGGAGAGGAAAGGCAAGGCAGAGAAAAGCAAGCACACTTGTGAGTGGAGAAAAACTCCATAAGGACAGCTGTGTCAGTGCTGGAAACACCGTTTTTTTATCAATGATGGGAAAAGGACAGCCAGGTCATCGTGGGTGTGTGGATGACACTGCTCCCCTGGGCCGTGAAAGTGAAGACAAAGCTTATAAACTGCAGAGACCTCTCAAAGCCGTGAGTGGGCGAGGAAGCAGCAGGTGAGGGTGGGGGTGGGTAAGTGGGGGGCACAGCAAGCTCTTTGAGCCCCCAGGGATCTGGGCAGCCACCTGATTAGTCAGCTGCCACCGACCCCAAAGGGCCAGCATGCCACCCGGAATTTCGAGACAACACTGCCCGACCCTCTCACAAGCCAAAACGCATCTGCTCCCGGAATAGCTCCACTGCTCTGGTGGCTGAATTTCAAAAGAGACCTGACAGCTGCAAACAGCCCAGACAGAGGGCAGCTAAAGTGATCAGTGCCGGGAGGCACGTCTAGATGGGGAAAGGCTAAAAGAATTAAGACGGCTCCATCTGGAAAGACAAAGGCTGCGGCCCAGAGGCAACCCACTCAGAGTTTATGAAATCACAAGTGAGACTTGGTCAAGCTCAACGTCCTTACTCAATCTAGGAGGTTATGGCGAGGCAGCGCCCGTCCCCAAGGAGAGGTGACGGGGCACATTTGAGACAAGTAAAATCAGGAAGTGCAAACAGCAGGTAGCAGTACTTCCAGAGTCCATTACCCGCAGGAAGCTGGAAAGGCCAAACATATAAATAGATTCAAGGGAATTTAGATGTATTCTCGGAGGGCAGCGCCACAGTAATTATGAAGTGTAATTTCAGGCGATGGCTGGTCTTTTGAGCTGCTGACAGGGACAAAGCCCTGACTGGGGAGGCCTTGGGCTGTGTTATTTGTTATATTTAGCTTTTTTAAGCCAGGAGGCCCAGGAGTGGACCCCAGGGGGGCAGACAATGGAGATACGTGCTCTCTGGTTTCTCTAGACCCCAGGGTTAGTTCTCCGAGAAATATCAGATCAGGAAAAAGAGTTTGAGGAACAAGTAGGCACAGAGTTTCAGCTGGGAAGGAGATGGTGAGGAGACAGACTTGAGGGGGCTGCGAATCTTCTGGCCTGTCTGAAGTGCTATGTATGCTCCTTATCTGAAGGGGACTTGCTCCTCAGGGAATTCGGCTACCCACAGGGACCACCTGGAGGTAACCCCCTCTCCGACAGGTCCAGGGGAGCCCCCCTTCCCCAAACCTTACCTGAGGTAACCCTCTCTCCGACAGGTCCAGGGGAGCCCCCCTCCCCCAAACCCTAAGCTGAGGTAACCCCCTCTCTGACAGGTCCAGGGGAGCCCCTCCCCCAAACCCTAAGCTGAGGTAACCCCCTCTCCGACAGGTCCAGGGGAGCCCTTCTCCCAAACCTTAAGCTGAGGTAACCCCCTCTCCCTCAGGTCCAGGG